CATTGTTCTGTTGTCTACTGTAACAAAGTAAAAATCTAACTTTGATTTATGCTTCTTGATTAATTCATCATTTGAAAAAATCCAAAATGTTAACAGTTGAAATTAAACTACACCACCGACAGTTTTGTGCAACAGTAATGACAGTTTTAATCAGTTGCATTTGGACAAGGAACAACATTCCGATAGTAACACAGTCTAATTTCTGAGCAGTCATTCAACTAACCACTATAGAACAAGAAAGTCTGATGATGATGATGTGCAGAATTTCTCTTGCATGTTGTAATCTGAATACTGGAAGGTTGTTGACAGCGTAGGCACTGATGCTGACAGCACCAACACAGGTGTACCTAAAAGACAAATACATGGACCAATGCATCAGGAATAATAGCCATTATAATAGCCTAAAGTTATCAAAGGAAAACCTGCATCATATCGGATGTTTTTGAAAATATTATAGACGCACTGCTGTGTTTCCAGATGTAATATTTTTTCAACAGGGGTGTACAAAATTGTTTTATCCATCTTAGATAACACTATTCATATTAAAAGTGCACATGACTGTGTTCTTTCATGTCCCTTACACAGACCTAGAGGCTCTTAACCCAGCATGACATGGAGATATTGTCTTGTTAAATGATGGAAAATCAGCTGGCTTCCTCTTGAATTTGATTGCTACATGATAGGGTTGAGAAGGAAGTGAAAATGATCAGGGCCCATATTTAGGAAGTTACAACCAGGAGGGATCTGATACTTGATCAGCACTTCTACTCTAAGACGCTTTATGAATATGGGCCTAGGACATTAACTGGCACTGGTTATATTCGGTGACAATGTTTACTCACCCTCTTTGGCAATGGATCTGAGTTTTCCCAACTTCGCAAAGCTCTCTCTGAAGGCTGGCTCCCCTTTTGCACACTCTCCCCTGGTTGAAAGAAAATAAGATCCAACATAAGAGTCTAGATCAGAAAGTATAACAATAACATCCATAGTTATGGACTTTCAAACAGAAGTCTTCATAATGTCCAGTACTGTCTGTAACGTTGTAACGTTAGGTTACAGTAAGGCATATAGCTAGCTAAAGTTAGCTAGCTAGCTTATCGTCTTTGAGAAGGTCTGTTACTTATGCACTACTAGCTAGTTAACCCCAACATTTCTCACTACCATTGTAAAGCCGTAGTTATTGTGTTGGTTTGACAGTCATTTCTGAGGATTATTTATTTCATGTGATTAGTGAGTCTGCCCCTCGTTTTAAGGTCAACCCTATTACGTGAACTGAACTCTCGTTTTAATATGGTGAAGATATCTGGCCATTTTCTGGTGTTTTGTGTTAGTAAAACTGAGCGGGCCGTGCATAACACGTCAACCCTGTTACCCATAGATAGACAGGCTAGAAATTCTTAAATTAAACATTTTCGTGAAGCTTGCATTCAATTGCTCCTCCCGGTTGCACACAACAAGCTTCCATTCCCCCTGTCACAAGGGGATTTATAGCTGATTTTAAGATGAAATCATCAACCCTCTTATGGTCAACCCTGTTACTTTATTTGGCACTTAAATGTCCAATGCAGACGTTTTTATCTCAGTATCAAATCATTTCTGGGTAACAATGAATTACCTTACTGCTCTTAGCAAAGAGCAATTTCTCAAACAAGAGTTTTGATAGGACTGCCTGGGAGTGGTCTGAGTGGGGAGGGGAAAACTGAACATTTGCTGTTATTGGCAAAGAGGTGACGTCACCAGGCAGGCCACAACACCATCCTACCTAAGCCCGCTGAAATATCAGGCGTTCTTTTCAAACAGCTCTTACACTTAAAGGCCATTATCATCCATTTTATAATTTCACAGTATTATTCCAACCTCATAGTGTGGAAATATATATAAAACACAGTAAAATATTTTTGGGGACTGCACTGGGCCTTTAATAGGCACTTACTATAGTAACGTTTTAATTTAACCTCTTGATGGGAAAATGTTTTCGTACTCCCTGACTAAGGCCATGCCAACCGAAACGAGTTTTTAAAATCTTTGTTCCATTGAACATGCCATACAAATAAAGGCATTTTAATTAATTATATGAACAGTGCCTTGGTCCACCTTTCTTTTTGGTGTTTTTTATGAAGTTGAACATGTGCTCTTTATGACAGAATGTTACAATTAGGTGAAATCAAACGTTTTATTGACCAAGTTACACGTTTCAAAAGGCACCGAATTGGTGGAACGACCCATTTAATTCCACTCTGTCACCCGACAGTGGAGCGGGAAGACAATGTCCATGGCATGCTGCCAATGGGTGTGCGTGTGAAACAATTTAATATTCTAGAGCACTACAGCTCCGTAACCTAAAAATGGCAAGCATAGCAGACAGGTTACATATGGATTTTGTTTTGACGTTTATTGTAAAGATTGATCATTGACCTTGCTTGAAATGATTCATTGTCATTGTGAACAGGGCTTGAAAACAACCACTTAAGGCAACAAAGACACAGACAAACAGGGTCTTTCATTGGCAGCTCTTCTAACAGATGCCTTTGTTGTTCTTTCAACGTTGAAGGAGGCAAGAATCCGAAGTAGCCTGTGCTCTGCTTTGAAGCTTCTGAGTCTGACCAGTCCTTGTTAATGTCAGACCATTGGATTGGATTCTATTGATCCAGAATTCAACCTTACCCTCAGTTAAACATCAATAGCTGGTTGTGTCACAGTTTTGTCTGAAGTGAATGAGTGGTCTGGTCTGGTCCATGTGTTATTGTGTCCACAGTTTACACTGGTGTGGAAACTGTCCTTTGCCAAAAACCATGTCATGGCTGGCCTGCCATTGCTCATCTAATATGGCTGGATCAAAATCCTAGTCTCCCGCTGAACTGTGGAAACTAGTTTCCATGCCAGCTGGATTTTCAGAGGGTTCAGTTCATCAAATGTGTACTGTACGAGCTGTGAAAGAAAAACCTAGTAGTCAAAGGAAAAATTGTATTCTGTCCAAAAACATTTTAAAAAAGGAAAGTTGCTTCCGAGTAATAAGACTTTCGTCCTCTACTCAAAAACAAAGACGGCGTAGTAGGCCATCTGTAAGTGAGTGAACCTAATAATTTGTAACAGAGTGTTTGTAACAGAGTGAGAGGCCTGTATTTGTTCAGCTGACTGCTATAGCCTAGCTGTTTGTGTTAATATGTTCTCCAGGGAGAAGGTGGAGAGACATACAGGTAACTGCCAAAGTAAAGGAAACACTTGAGTAAATTATGGTTACAAAGTATATTGAAAGCAGAAGCCTATTATTTGGCAGGGAATACTTTTTGTACATCAGTGATTCTACACCTCAATTTGCTTAAGCTGGACTCGAACCCAGGTCCAGCGATTACAAGCCAACACCTTAACCGTTACACGATGTTAGGATTTTGAAAGTCGTGTAGTGTACGCCCGGCATTGATGATTGCGTCTCTGACCCGCTCACATTAAACGAGCGTCGGTGACGGCCGCGTGCCCCAAGTAGGCAACGACACTGGGATTTTGTCGCCGATCTCATAAACCTGTCTGGGACAGTTAAAGAGAGAGGCCCACCTCGGCAGAAAATCTGTCTCACTCCAGCAGGGGGCATTTTTCGGCCACCAATAAGGAGTTTTTATATGGAGGTCAACGAGTGTCGATTGTGGTCAGCAAAAAAAATGAATGGTTTATTTGATTGAATAGAAGTTTCATAATGCTTAGGTTGTTACGAGTGTACTGATATAAGTAGGACGTGACATCCCCTACACTTTGAGAAAAAACACTTTATATCAGAGGCTAGTAGCATAGCATCTCTCCATTTGAATACAGGCAGTTGATGTCAACAACCCTCATCAAATATTCAAACAAGTATTAATATAATTACATGTGTCCACCATTCTAAAGAAAGGATAGGTGGGAGCTAGACAGCCTGCCATGCTGCTTTGTGGACAATGACTCCCATTGTTAGGGCGGAGAGACAAGTATCTTGTCAGTATATCCATAATCTTTGTCGAAGTCGATGGTATCTACTAGCATATCTGCTAGCAGATAGCGCAATGACTGGAAGTATATGCTAACGCTAGTTGACAATTACGTTAGCGCTAGTTAGCAACTTCTTCCAAACCGAGTTTGGTGGAGAGGAGCAAATTGAGGTGTCGAATCACTGATCTACAAATAGTATTCCCTGCCAAATAATAGGTTTTTTTGCAATTAAGATTTGCAGAGCTATGCCTCCCCTGGCTTTATCCTCTTAGTTACCAACTAAACCAGTGCCTGTCTCTAGATTGTTCTAACCATTCTACATGATCTCACAAAGAGGCTGCTGGTCAGAATTTAGAACACAACAGTGGTCATTGACGACGGCAGCCAGGCAGTGTTGATGTCAGTGATTTACTTGATTCCATGATTACAGCTCTGCTTAGTAAGAGACAGCACAGCACACAGCCATAGAAGCTTTAGCTATGCTTCAAATCTGACTTGGGAGGCACATGGGCCAGACTACGAGGTCAAGTTAGTTTAGGCTACTCATTCATTCTCCAGACTGTTAAAGAACTATGAAAATGATTGTTATTGATGATCATTGTTGCTTTTAGATCTTCAATGATTTGAAGATTTGTGTTCGAAACAGTACAATGTTGACGATTTCTGGAAGGTTATCCAATGCTGATATAATGGAGGTCTACCATTGTATTTGGGTAGAATTGCCTTGGTTGCTGTAAAATAAGGGATGACTTGGTTTATACCATGAATTATAAAGAAATGTGTTCAGGGTTTATCATGAACAAGCAACCTCACTCTATTTACATGTGAAATCCCATGGTTAAGAGTGCTATGCCCCATTTTATTATTTATTTATTACATCACCACATTTTGTTATGGTAAGCCCATGACTTTAATATGCATAATCATTACCAAATGAATGACCAAATTTAGCAATCATATTTCACAAAAATCTTGCAATGCAGAATAAAATATTATAAATAGGCCTAATGCTTATTGTGTCCAGTCCTTCCTCTTCCAGGGCCAGGTAAGAGCTGTTTAGCAGCACCGCAAGTTGCTTGTAAACTCCATACCTTTAACCAGCATTTATTCTAACAACTGCTTCTTATTTCCCTCTCCTTCTCCCTCTCTTCCTCCATCCTTTTCTCCACAGACGGAGGCTCATCTCTCAGCGTTCCTCCTTGGAGACACTGGAAGACATTGAGGAGAACGCCCCTCTACGCAGGTACTGTACAGCAACAACTGTCACGTTCCGCACAACTCAGCACACCACTCAGAAACATACGTTTGGTTTGCTCTTATTTTAGAGCTGTACTTGACAAGTCAATAACGGCTTTAGCCAGGGAAGTATTTTGGTAGATAATGACATTGGGGGAACTGTAATTTCACTTCAGTTTGATTTGTGGAGTACTTTTATGTGCTGTGGGGTAGTGATGGTGGGAACGTCATGCTGCTGCGGTAATGTATTGGTCTGGCTCCGTCTCTCTGTTTAGAGTTGTAAAAATATATGTTGTCTTTACGGCTCAAAATGGATCCCAATGAATCACATTTTGTTTTGATCGGTCTTATTTATTTGGTGTGTTTTTTAGATGCAGAACCCTCTCAGGTTCACCCCGACCAAAGAGCTTCAAGAAGGTTCACTTCATCAAAAACATGAGGCAACATGATATGCGCAATGGAAGGTATGAATGACAACAACCCCAGCCCTAATTCCGTACAAAGTTTCAATGGAAAATGGCAGGATGCCCCCCAATGAACACTCAGCAGTTTGAACATCTATCAGGTTACCCAACTTTAGCCTAAATCTTGGACAAGAGATGTAGGTTATTAATTATAATATAATATAAATATGCCATTTAGCAGACGCTTTTATCCAAAGCGACTTAGTCATGTGCGCATACATTTTTACGTTTGGTGGTCCCGGGGATCGAACCCACTACCCTGGTGTTACAAGCGCCATGCTCTACCAATTGAGCTACAGAGGACCAATAACCTTAATTGAAGGTTATTCCTTATAGCTTAGAAGTACTGTATCAAAGAATGTACTATTGATTGATAAATTGTCTTATCGATTGATAAATGTATCAGACTGCTCAGCAGTTCATTGGGAGTCTGGTTAGTTTTCACTGAAATCATCTCAAATCGAGTTTAGATCTTGTTTTGTATATTTTGTTAAAGCTATACAGTAAGGATCACACCATTTGAATTACAAATGAGTCATGCAACACATCACTCACTTTTATATACAATGGTGCATGCATGTTCACTTAGATATTCCAGAGCACTGAAGACATTTTAGCACACTGATTTATTTTATATATTCACACAGTTATATGTAGCTATTGTTCAGCAGCTTCTCGCAGTAATGAATATTATCACCTTTTATGACTATTTTCTGGAATCTAAAAGGAAATAGACGGTTAAACTATTTCCATGGCACTTAATTTTGTATTATACAGATCATTCAACTAGCATTTTATTCTGGCATTTTTTTGCTACAAACCTCAAGCTTCTTTTACACTTGGGTGTACTGGACCCATTTTTTTTGATTAATTGTTTTTGAAATATCATTCTTGACAGGTATTTGTACGGGTCTTTCTTTTGTCCCAGGAAGAAAAAGGAGTACATCTATGCTGTTGTTGTTTGTATTTACTCGTATCTAGCTTATCAGTGTGCCATATACAGTAGTAATAAATTGCCATAAGTCACATTCTGCCTGTGACATTGATATTAGTCAGTGAGTAGGCCTCTTATTGGATGTCATAACTCAGAAGGTATAAATCAGTGACAGTTTATTAAGTGTTAGTTATGCAACTTTATTGTTAAATTTTTTTACCTCGTGTGCAGCTGATATTCTAATATTGTAAGATAAACAAGTTTGGTATTTTTTAGTCTCCAACTCAAGACATGGCTAGTAGCCTCATTTTAAAAGATCTCTATAAAAAAATGCATCATTTTGTCCCCAAACCTCTGACTACATAACACTCACACAACACATATAAAAAAATACAGTATTTCATTTAGTTTTCTAAATCTAGATTGTTTTACTGCGCACTTTTTTTCTCCATCTTTACCTGTAGATCTGAATGTATTTTTCAGAGTTAATTCCTAATTAGCATATTTATCATTTTTGTTTTATAGGATAGTCCTAATCAGTGGCAGAAGATCCCTTTATAGTGTATTTTCTGTCCTGCCCTATCGAGATTGTAGCCAAGCAGGGTATGTATCCTACAGCATGCCATCCTCCCAACCTTTGTTCCTTCGTTCCATGCTTTCCCTCCATTCTCTCATGGTTCATTCCACCAATTCGGTGCCTTTTGAGAAGTGTAACTTGGTCTAAAAAAACGTTTAATTTCACCTAATTTTAACATTCTGTCATAAGAGCACATGTTCAACTTAATTAAAAAAACACTGTTTCCCATCGAGGTAATTATTTCCCCCCATGATTTAACTTCTAAGTGGTCCGTCTATGAATTCAGGAAATCATGTAGGAACGTGTCATAGCTACACGCTTTTAAAACAATTACCTGCACTCCAGATCGCCAAATCAGCCAATAGATGGTAACATATGGGCATACTTGTCTAGAACACATCCATCCGTTTACAGTATATCTTCATGACAAAGTATATATTTCGCTTAGATGTGCTCAATATAAACCATGTACCAAATTATTAAACTCAGTTTCTCCTTAAATACCATCTCGCAATGTAAAGGGAAAACCTAGTCAGTTGCAAAACTGAATGCATTCAACCGAAATGTGTGTTCCGCATTTAACCCAAACTGCCTTGCTCAAGGGCAGAACGGCAGATTTTCCCACCTTGCCGGCTCGGGATTCGAACCAGCGACCTTACTGGCCCAACGCTCTTAACCACTAGGCTACCTGTGTCTGTGGGAAACATGGGGAAAGGGCCGTTGTTGCCATAGCAACGTACTCTGCACTCACCTTGGCGGAGACCAACTGCAAGTTGAATTCGGTGAGATGGATTCCTAAACAAGCGATTTTTACAGCCACTAAACATGCTGAACTTGACTTTGGTATTATTATGTGCAGCTACGTTTGCTTGCTAGCTAGCCAGCCAGCCCAGAGAGAGAGCATTGCATTGTGGGTTTTGTAGTCGACTTTCCACAATGATTTTCACGTTGCTAACAACCTTGTTATAACAACAAATCGCTTTATTCATCAAAAAAATCGGATTTATTGAATTCTCCATGTGGCTTATTTTAAACGGCACATCATTTAATATAACAGGTTTTTAAAATTATATTTTGGTGCACAATTTCTACTTAAAATAAAAGGCACTCTTTTCGTGGAACGATCCTCATCCCTTTTGTTTCTGCATATATAATCTCCTATAACTGGTACTTTATTACATTGGGAGGTTTGAACATTGTTAGATTGAACAATTTCCTGGACTTGTTGGTTTTGGTAGATACTTTTTTTTACAACAACAAAACCTTTGTAAGAAAGATGAACAAGTAATTAATCACACCCATTTAAAGGGAAAACCCACTCAAATGATGCATTTTGCCTCATCATGAAGTACAATATCTTGAAAACTTGAATGCTGACATGCAAAACATTTTGGGACTGTGGACTAATGAAAAAAATACCAAAAGATAGTATTTGAGTGGATTTTCCCTTTAAGGTTTGTATCCATTTCCCTATGTTTTCATATAGGCCTATAGCAGAGGAGGCTGGTGGGAGGAGCTATAGGAGGACAGGCTCATTGTAATGGCTGGAATGGAATGAATGGACGGGAGTCAAGCGTGGTTTCTATATGTTTGTGTTTGATACGTTCCATTAATTCCATTCCAGCCATTACAATGAGCCCGTACTCCTATAGCTCCTCCCACCAGTCCTCTGGCCTATAGGTTGCTATTGGCTGTGTCGCTATATCTCTTTGGAAGATGTCATGAAGTTGTTGTTTTTTTTGTTCTAATACGACACTGTTTTGCCCGTTGCAAACGTTTGTGGCTTTGCTGTTATCATGTAGGCTGCACCTTTCCTCAAGTCATTGCTGCCATCAAAGATTCCGTAGCATGCTTTTATCTCAGCATTCACTGATAACTTTGCATGCGCTTTGTTGCAATTGCATAACACACATTACAACATTTCGGTGTGGACCCAATGATCCATCCATAATAGAGCATTTTGGAGTTTCTGTTTGGATTTTACACATGATATCCCAGTTTGTTGTTGGTCATCTTGTTTATCCTCCCTGTGTGGTTAGAGGTGATATTTTTTGGCCCTTGGAAGAGAAAGCCTGGCTTATCAGTAGTCATCTTTCTTATTCCAACACGAGGTTCAGACTCCTACATGTTATGGGAAACCATAGTAGTCCTGAACACTCTCCAGCCTGGTAGCCTCCCACCTGGCCTGCCTGCCTGTGTATGGGGAATGTGGCAGTGTTGTTGTGACCTTGGTCCTGGTGCTCCTCACGAAAGAGCTTGTGTTGGAGGAAGTGTAAGAGAAAAATAACTGATCAACACAGAGAATAAAATGGACAGAGAGAAAGAAGGCACCATTCCAGGGGCTTAGTAAACCTAGCCATACATCAATATGTTTTAAAGAGCTAGTGAAGCCTCTAGTGATATCCAATAGCCTCAGCCCTGAATGCCCAATGCTGCTACATATGTTTGCTACAGCAGCAAAAGGAAATGTGAATTATGTGGATTATAATGAATAGCCATTTTTGTTAAGGTTGATACATTTTTTGTAAAGGATAATCAAGTCTGAAAATTCAAAGTGGGAATTACAAACTTCAGAATACTTTTTAAACCTCAAATACACAAGTTTTACATTTGCTGCATTGCAGGAATGTTCTCCTACAACAGGGTGATCAAATTAGAATCCTACACCTGTAATTGATTGTTGAAAGTTAAATAACGTTTTTGGATGGGTCTTGGGAGTGTCGCTGCAGCAAAATACCCTTGACTGACTATGTAAAGAACTGACCAAGTGAAAATCCCATGCCTGTCCTAAAATGTAAATACTCAGTGCCATGTAAAATAAGGATCACTGACATTATGTCCATGAGACATACAGTGCATTCGGAAAGTATTCAGACCCCTTGACTTTTTCCACATTTAATTACATTACAGACTTATTCTAAAATTGATTAAATAGTTTTTTACGCCTCATCAATCTACACACACAATACCCCATAATGACAAAGCAAAAACTGTTTTTTTTTTTATTTAATTTACATAAGTATTCAGACCCTTTACTCAGTACTTTGTTGAAGCACCTTTGGAAGTGATTACAGCCTCGAGTCTTCTTGGGTATGGCGCTACAAGCTTGGCACACCTGTATTTGGGGAGTTTCTCCCATTCATCTCTGCAGATCCTCTCAAGCTCTGTCAGGTTGGATGGGGAGCATCGCTGCACAGCTATATTCAGGTCTCTCCAGAGATGTTCGATCGGGTTCAAGTCCGGCCTCTGGCTGGGCCACTCAAGTACATTCAGAGACTTGTCCTGAGGCCACTCCTGCATTGTCTTGGCTGTGTGCTTAGGGTCATTGTCCTGTTGGAAGGTGAACCTTTGCCCAGGTCTGAGGTCCTGAGTACTCTGGAGCAGGATTTCATCAAGGATCTCTCTGTTCTTTGCTCCGTTCATCTTTCCGTCTATCCTGCCAAGTCTCCCTGACGCTGAAAAATATCCCCACAGTATGATGCTGCCACCACCATGCTTCACCGTAGGGATGGTGCCAGGTTTCCTCCAGACGTGACGCTTGGCATTCAGGCCAAAGAGTTCAATCTTGGTTTCATCAGACCAGAGAATCTAGTTTCTCATGGTCTGAGAGTCTTTAGGTGCCTTTTGGCAAACTCCAAGCGGGCTGTCATGTGCCTTTTACTGAGGAGTGGTTTCCGTCTGGCCGCTCTACCATAAAGACCTGATTGGTGGAGTGCTGCAGAGATGGCTGGCCTTCTGGAAGGATCTCCCATCCCCACAGAGGAACTCTGGAGGTCTGTCAGAGTGACCATCGGGTTCTTGGTAACCTCCCTGACCTAGGCCCTTCTACCCCCGATTTCTCAGTTTGGCCGGGCGGCCAGCTCTAGGAAGAGTCTTGGTGGTTCCAAACTTCTTCCATTTAAGAATTACATTTACATTTACATTTATGTCATTTAGCAGACGCTCTTATCCAGAGCGACTTACAAATTGGTGCATTCACCCTATAGCCAGTGGGATAACCACTTTACAATATGTTTTTTTTTTGTTTTTTTTGTTGTTGTTTTTTTTTTGGGGGGGGGGGGGGGGGTAGAAGGATTACTTTATCCTATCCCAGGTATTCCTTAAAGAGGTGGGGTTTCAAATGTCTCCGGAAGGTGGTGAGTGACTCCGCTGTCCTGGCGTCGTGAGGGAGCTTGTTCCACCATTGGGGTGCCAGAGCAGCGAACAGTTTTGACTGGGCTGAGCGGGAACTATGCTTCCGCAGAGGAAGGGGAGCCAGCAGGCCAGAGGTGGATGAACGCAATGCCCTCGTTTGGGTGTAGGGACTGATCAGAGCCTGAAGGTACAGAGGTGCCGATCCCCTCACAGCTCCATAGGCAAGCACCATGGTCTTGTAACAGATGCGAGCTTCAACTGGAAGCCAGTGGAGTGTGCGGAGGAGCGGGGTGACGTGAGAGAACTTGGGAAGGTTGAACACCAGACGGGCTGCGGCATTCTGGATGAGTTGTAGGGGTTTAATAATGATAGAGCCCACTGTGTTCTTGGGGACCTTCAATGCTGCAGACATTTTTTGGTACCCTTCCCCAGATCTGTGGCTCCACACAATCCTGTCTCGGAGCTCTATGGACAATTCCTTCAACCTCATGGCTTGGTTTCTGCTCTGACATGCACTGTCAACTGTAGGACCTTATATAGACAGGTGTTTTCCTTTCCAAATCATGTCCAATTAACTGAATTTACCACAGGTGGACTCCAATCAAGTTGTAGAAACATCTCAAGGTTGATCAATGGAAACAGGATGCACCTGAGGTCAATTTCAAGTCTCATAGCAAAGGGTCTGAATATGCATGTAAATAAGGTATTTCAGTTTTTTATTTTTAATACATTTGCAAACATTTCTAAAAACCTGTTTTCGCTTTGTCATTATGGGGTATTGTGTGTAGATTTGATGAGGATTTTTATTTTTAATCAATTTTAGAATAAGGCTGTAATGTAACAAAATGTGGAAAAAGTCAAGGGGTCTGAATACTTTCCGAAGGCACTGTAGAACTAGACAGTGAACAAGTCCAAGCTTCTGTCTGTTATGACTTTCTCCTGCATTTTCTCCCTTTCTTGCCCCAATTAGAGTTTTTATTGATTTACCACAGTGTTCATAATAACTAGAATATTCAATTACCTTGCTAATTAGCTCAGTCCTCTCTGGGACATAATGGCACCGTAGAATTCTGGGAACCTAGAATGCGGTTGGCTTCTCTTAGGTTCTCTATCTGGTCCAATTCCACATTCCTTTTTTTAGAGCCATCTCATGTTGTTAATATTAAAAAGCACATAGTTTTCATTGCTCAGTCCTAAATTGGAGGTCTCTTGCTAACCTTGCTAATTGTTAATCAAACATTTTTTAAATGTGAATACATTTAGGTTTGATTCTGATAGTTTAGATATTGTTGTTTTATCTCTGTGAAAAGGCAGATCTGTTTTTTTTTCACCACATTTGCCCCTCATTTCTTATTAATTGATACGTCAGCCACTTGACAATATACTTTTTATTTTCTTCCACTACTGCGTTCTTTGATTTCCCTCTCCGTTTCATCCTTTGACAGACTGCAACAACTGTCTTTCCTGGCTTGCAAAAGGAAAAGCTTTGTCCTGGAAAGCGTTGTTGCTTAGTTTCCTCCCTTCTTATCTCATCTCCCTTCCTTAAAGTTTGCTGCCTTGGGATCTTTGTATGTGTGTGTGATGCATCTGTAAACAAGATTTTCCCATGTGCCGTATAACGCTATTTTCATCACAGCTCCACCTCAGACAGTCTGCCATCTACTCCTAATAACAATGGTCATGTGATGGCCCTCTGTGTCATTGTAAAGCAGTCATGCTTGTCCAGTGGCCTTATCCTGCTATTGCTACTGGCCTTTCTGACAGGAAACTGTAACCACCATATACCCTTTAGTCAAATCAGTCTGGTGAAAGTCCATGAAATGATGAAAGTTTAACAATAATGCATTGTTATTTGGTATGAGTCAATGCAGAACCCCCACAACATTTGAAGGTGACACCTTTAGTTGGTAGATGGTTTTACAGCAACACTGGAACCGTGAAGTGTTTTTCTAGAACATCTGCTCAAGACTGTAACCTGACAGGTTATTTTCAACGACTATGTACCACTGACACAGTTTCAACTCAGTGCAGTACTACATTTCCTTATTTAGTCAAGCATATGACCCCCTTTATTTAGAAATCTAACACACTGATATGAAATGTAGAGTACTGGTGATGCAACGTCTGAGCTGCAACCGCCTGCATTCCTTTAACCGTACTTGGCAGAATGCTACAGTATGTCTGTATGAATCCACACACTCTCATTTCACCCCTCGCTGTGTGCTTCTTAATATTCCAAATTCTAACAAAGATCACCCACCCAATCAGAGATCACATACAGGTAATCAGAGAATCTGATTGGTTAGTGCGGTGCTCTACAAATCAATAACACGCACATTTAACTGTGTGTAAAAGATAGAACTAGATCGATAGAGTTAGAGATGCTGAGGTGGAGTCTAGACAGCAGACTGTTTGGCAGTGGGTGTGGATGTCTAAAGGTGTTGTGCCCCGACAGGGATGTGAAACTGGAAAGCGGGCGGCAACGGCACCCCTCGGGCGGGGTCAGTGCCAAGGAGATGGTGATCGGGCTGGAGGGAGTGGAGCTGGGGGCCGACGGAAAGGTGAGAGAGGACTGGAGACAAACGCATCCTGTCCTCCTTGCGTTCAGTTACAGATCAGTTATCACATCGAGGAAGAGAAAGTAAACAGGGGTCCAGACCATGTGTGAGAGCCTGAACATGAGCGCCTTAACAATAACATGCTGTTAAAAATGTGAGTATGTCTCTCTTTCTCCATAGACTGTGTCGTACACCCAGTTCCTGTACCCCACCAACGCCCTGGGCAGTGGTCGCAGGAACACCATAGACTCCATGTCATTCTTCTCTCAGTCTCGTAACATCAGCCACCGCAGCCTCAGCCTGGGCCGGGCCAACAGCAACCAGAGCAGCATCGACACAGGTCAGGCAAATGAGTGTGTGGATCCTCTGGAGTAGTTGTAGCATTTATACAGGTCAATGTGTGGATCCTCTGGAGTAGTTGTAGCATTCATACAGGTCAATGTGTGGAGCCTCCATTCTGGAGAGAGCCCCTGAATAGGAGTAGGCCTGTGTCAGAGTGGGTAATGATACATATCACTTTCTCCCAGACATAACCTTCCACAGTGTGACGTTTTAGTTGAACAATTACATGTTCAACATTGAGGGCTTCTATGCATAGTCACTTTACCCCTACCTACATGTACAAATTACCTCGACTAACCTGTACCCCCGCACATTGACTCGGTACCGGTACCCCCTGTATATAGCCTCGTTATTGTTATTTTATTGTGTTACTTTTTATAAATGTTTTACTTAACTCTATTTTCTTAAAACTGCATGGTTGGTTAAGGGCTTGTCAATAAGCGTTTCACGGTAAGGTCTACTACACCTGTTGTATTCGGCACATGTGACAAATAAAATTTGATTTTAATTTGACTGTGTTAGAAGAAGTGGAAAAACACTATTTTTCTTTCTTGTCCCCAATGTTTGTTTATCCTTGGTTCATTGTGTGACTGTGTCATTTTGTCCCCTACAGGGAATGATCTGGGGGACTTGATCCAGGAGTACGACCCTAATCTGCTGGACGATCCCCAGTGGCCGTGTGGGAAGCACAAGAGAGTCCTAATCTTCCCCTCATACATGGTGAGACACCACTCTACTTACCAGACATGGGTTCAAACAGCATTTGTTTTCTTAAAAATACTTTGAGAGTTTGATTGAGCCTGCCTTTAGTGCCACATGGACAGGGTTTGTACTTTGGGCAATTATATTGGTTCCATTGTGCCAGACAAGTTCAATCAAGCAAAACTAAAGTATTTGAAAGATTTGGAGCCTATCTAACTTGTTTTTCAGATTATTATAATTTTTTCCAAAAACAGTTGTCAGAGACACAACCTAAGAGAAACAACCAACCAGCTTCTATTTATAATCACAGACCAGAGGTGGCACCACAGGTCCCAGTTTTTTTCCCTGGGGCCCAGAGTTTTTCCTGATCTGGTAACCTAACCAGATAAATACTCTGGACCCTATGACAGTGATTAATCAGTTGTAAAAAGGTTTATATGGGCTATGATGGCTCCAGAGTTTTTTAATCAGGCCACATGGTTTAAAAAAGAACTGCTGAAAAAACTCCTGGCCCTGGGGAGGATGTAAACCCTGTCAAACTGCAGCAACCTTGTACTTGTTCATATTAATTATATTTTAAAACAAGACTAATGGGGGTTTCCTCGACACGGAGACAGGAGTTACAGTATAACTGACAGGGCTGAGTTTGCTTTATGCAGGTTTGCATCGTGTATGCTTATCCAACTGTAGGCCTAATTCAAAATTAACTTGTTCCATGTCATCACTATTGTGTTGATGTGGTTATTTCCAGTAAATACTTTTGGATTAAAAAGGTCTAGGTAGCCTAGCCAGCCCAAGTTTGAATCTAAACCAAATTTGATCACATTCACATTTTCTCCTATCACAAACAGATGGGCTATAAATACAAAACGTTACCGCTAAGTTTACCCTGCCCAGAGGAACATAGAGCATAGTAAGCTATATACAGCGGCTGTTAGTAGCCTACAGCAGAGGTATTCAACTGGGGGTACTGCAGGGGTCCACGGAAATATTGCAGGGGAAAGAAAGTGAAAAGATATTTGTTTTATTTCAATGTTTTTATGAATATCGCTAGCAACAACAGAATAAACTAATTTTGAATTACATACTTACAGTAGAAAAGAGGAGAATATCTTATTTCTAATGATGTCAACTTTATTTCTTAACTCCTAATATTAAGAAAATTACCCTCATTGGAGCCAATTACACTCACGCACCTGCAGTGTTGCAAGTGCTGCTGGTAAGTTTTCTTGACTTGGACATACCGTAATCTGATTGGTCAAGACACGCACAGAACCTACAGCACTCCGATGTGTAGGACACATCAATTTTGCACGAGTTGACAAATTATGAGGCAAATCAGCCTAAAAAACAGTACTTTGTCCCTCTTTTGAACGCTTTTGCGTCAATATTCTTTATTACACTTTTTATTTTTTTGAAAAGTCCTCGGGCAAATGCCAGCTTGCCACACGTTTGCAGGTGGCTCTGCCTCCTACTGTATCAACTGAACTCACTGTAAGTCCAAAGAGTCTGTCTGACCATTCTAATCAGAAAGGTAATTGGCCCAATCCCTGGTTCAGGTGTGTGAATACCTGTCTCTCTATACAGTAGCGCTTTAACAGCTAGGGTGTGTTAGAAATGGCACCCTATTCCCTGTATAGTGCACTACTTTTGACCAGGGCCCATAGGGAGATGGTCAAAAGTAGTGCACTAAGTATGGAATAGGGTGCCATTTCAGACTCTCACCTCTAGTGTGGTTTATCCGGTCCACTCCTTTTCCTGTGGCCATACCACACTGTTACTTAATCACTTTCCCATGTCCAGAACTTGGCAAGGGAACGATAGTTTTGTGTTCATATAAAAGCAACAACAACCGACTCCCAGTTCATTTCTCAGTTGGCTCTGTTGATGTTATCTGGGCTGGTAGAATACACAGACCAGACTTGAAGTATTCAGTTAAGGCTAGACTGTCTTTTTGTTTCTTATTTTCCTCCCATTGCGAAACCCCAGCGCCTTACAACAATAGCTATTGTGTTTACACTTGCTGAACGTTTCACTGCACGATCAGTCACTGTGCTAATCTAAGTACCCATGCCTTTTCTTTTTCTTGAACTGATCTTTCAAGTTCTGCTACTAACTGTAGCATGGGATAGAAATCTATTTAGTACATTTAGTTTCCTTTGCGATCAAGGATATATCTATAAATGACATTCCTTTCGTTTAGAAATGCGCTCTCTAGGTTTCCCAGGGCCCACAGTAGCCACAGATTTGCTGCAGTAGTCAAAGTATACTTAGAAATATTTTGGTTGGTACAAATAGTTTGGTATATTTTGAATTCAGATATGGAGCTGCATGGAGGAATGCTATCCAGGACCAAAAATACCAAGTTACAAATACTAGTTTGATAAAGTTGTTTGAACAAAGCAAATGACTTGCCATGAGCCAACTTGGGCAATATGCTGTTTGGATTATTGCTCTCTTATCACATACCTAGATTCAGTGGGTCAACTTCAGTGCTCCTTCTATCTTCCTAGATAACAGGTATGAGCCTCTGACCTGAAATAAAATTAAATGGCTCAGTTAAAGTACATCAACCGAACATACAGAGCTTGGAAATGTAAAGCGTCGTAAACGTTCTAGAATATGATTCTGTTTTATCGTGGAACGTGTATGTCGTGCCACCCGATGTCACCTGACTCCAGAGGAGGCTGGTGGGAGGAGCAATAGGAGGAAGGGCTCATTGTAATGGCTGGAACGGAATGAATGGAACGGTATCAAACATATGGAATCCACGTTTCACTTCGTTCCATTAATTCAATTCCAAATGCTCCTCCCACCAGCCTCCTCTGCCTGACTCCAATATCTCATGCTCCGTCGCTGATACTCAACCACCTTCTCAATGACCAAATGGAACCTAACACTGAATCTAAAGGTCACATCACCTTCCATAGTGAGATTGATGCCTCTCTGTGTCCTCTTCCACATATACAATAACGTAACACTTGCACAATTTTGCCAACAACAGAGCTTAACATCAGAGCCTGTCTGTCTGACACCAATACTTTCATCTCCCTTTCAGACTACAGTCATAGAGTACGTCAAGCCTTCTGACCTCAAGAAGGACATGAACGAGACATTCAAGGAGAAGTTCCCCCACATACGGCTGACCCTCAGCAAAGTCAGGAGGTAGGGACGTCTATGCGAAACATACACTACCGGTCAAAAGTTTTAGAACACTCATTCAAGGGTTTTTCTTTATTTTGACTATTTTCTACATTGTAGAATAATAGTGAAAACATCAAAACCGTATTGACTGACCTTCATGTCTTAAAGTAATGATGGACTGTTGTTTCTCTTTGCTTATTTGAGCTGTTCTTCCATTGGACTTGGTCTTTTACCAAATAGGGCTATCTTCTGTATACCCCCCCCCCCCCTACCTTGTCACAACCCAACTGATTGGCTCAAACGAAGGAAATAAATTCCACAAATTAACTTTTAAGAAGGCACACCTGTTAATTGAAATGCATTCCAGGTGACTACCTCATGAAGCTGGTTGAGAGAATTCCAAGAGTGTGCAAAGCTGTCATCAAGGCAAAGGGTGGCTATTTGAAGAATCTCAAATATAAAATATATTTTGATTTGTGTAACACTTTTTGGTTACTACATGATTCCGTATGTGTTATTTCATAGTTTTGATGTCTTCACTATTATTCTACAATGTAGAAAATAGTAACATTTAAGAAAATCCCTTGAATGAGTAGGTGTTCTAAAACTTTTGATCGGTAGTGTACATTTGAGTATGTTGTTGAAATGATCATTTTGTGTCAGCCTTATTTAACCCCTTGTGGTTAATCGTATCAACAATAGTTCCTGACAGACATTGGGCACACTATGGTACTTTTGGGTTCTTTTTTGTTGTTGTTGCATTGACCTCTTTGCATTTGTCTGTTATCGCCCTGCCTTCACCACCTTCCACCCCCTCCCTTCACCAGTCTGAAGAGAGAGATCCGTAAGTTGGCCCAGGAGGAGTGTGGCTATGAGGAACCCACCGTAGCTATGGCCTTCGTCTACTTTGAGAAGCTGGTCCTCCAGGGGAAACTCAACAAGCAGAACCGCAAACTCTGTGCCGGCGCCTGCATCCTGCTCGCCGCAAAGATCGGCGGAGACCTCAAGAAGCACGAGGTCAAGCAGCTCATAGACGTAAGTGTCGTCCTCATCTCTTAGTGCACTTGGCTTCGGCTCTGAGCAGCCTGGTGGAAACCATGGGTGCTTTCCTGTCACGCCGACAAACAGCGATTCTGCACAGAATACAGGATTGTTATATCATATGAATTTCTTAGACGTGGTTCCTTTGAAGTTCCACACTTTTTGAGACATTATAAAGATCTGATGATAGGATCATTATATAATATTGATGTGATCCTTTTCCAAGCATTATAAATATCGGATGTAGTCTGTGTAGAATCTGCATTTATCTGCGTGAGAGAAAAGCACCACATGACAGATAGCAAAATGGCTAGCATAGGGATCATAGACAAAATAATATTTTTACACTGTTTACAAAAAATTATGAACACCGGCTCTTTCCATGAGACTGACCAGGTGAAAGCTACAGTGTCGTGAAAAAGCATTTGCCCCCTTTCTGATTTTCTCTATTTTTGCATATTTTTGATACAGAATGTTGTCAGATCTTCAACCAAAACCTAATATTAGCTAAATGGAACCTGAGTTTACAAATAACAATAACAACAATTTGATACTTATTTTATTTATTTAATTAACAAAGTTATACAACACCCAATTTCCCTGTGTGAAAAAGTAATTGCCCCCTTACACTCAATAACTGGTTGTGCCCCTTTAGCTGCAATGACTGCAAACAAACGCTTCCTGTAGTTGTTGATCAGTCTCTCACATCGCTGTTGAGGAATTTTGGCCCATTCTTGCGTACAGAAGTGCGTACCATCACACTACCAAAAGCAACAAATCTGAAGTTTTGGATTGGCCTAGTCAAAGTCCAGACCTAATCCCAATTGAGATGTTGTGGCAGGACTTGAAACGAGCAGGTCATGCTTGAAAATCCACAAATGTCGTTGCTGAGTTACAGCAGTTCTGCATGGAAGAGTGGGCCAAAATTCCTCCACATTGACGTGAGAGACTGATTTACAACTACAGGAAGCGTTTGGTTGGAGTCATTGCAGCTAAAGGTGGCACAACGAGTTATTGAGTGTAAGGGGGCAATTACCTTTCACACAGGGGCACTGGGTGTTGCATCACTTTGTTTATGAAGTAAGTATGTAATTGATGTGTTATTTGTTCACTCAGGTTCCCTTTATGTAATATTAGGTTTTGGTTGAAGATCTGATAACATTCAGTATCACAAATATGCAAAAGTATAGAAAATTAGAAAGGGGGCAAATACTTTTTCACGGCACTGTATGATCTCTTATTGATGTCACTTGTTAAATCCACTTCAATCAGTGTAGATGAAGGGGAGGAGACAGGTTAAAGAAGGATTTTTAAGCCTTGAGACAGTTGAGACATGGATTGTGTATGTGTGTCATTCAGAGGGTGAATTGGCAAGACAAACGATTTAAGTGCCTTTGAACGGGGTATAATTGCCAGGCGCACCGGTTTGTGTCAAGAACTGCAACATTGCTGGGTTTTTCACACTCAACAGTTTCCCTTGTGTATCAAGATTGGTCCACCACCCAAAGGACATCCAGCCAACTTGATACAACTGTGGGAAGCATTGGAGTCAACATGGGCCAGCAATCCTGTGAACGCTTTTGACACCTTGTAGCGTCCATGCCCCGACGAATTGAGGCTAATCTGAGGGCAAAGGGGGTAGGGGAGGGGGGGCGCAACTCAATATTAGGAAGGTGTTCATAATGCTTTGTACACTCAGTGTATATTACAGAATATAGGACGTAATAAAGTGGGTTAGTTAGTACATCTCTCGTCTCCCTTTTTTTCCTGATGTGTAGAAACTGGAGGAGAGGTTTCGTGTGAACAGGAGGGAGCTGATAGCCTTTGAGTTCCCTGTGCTGGTGGCCCTGGAGTTCAACCTGCACCTGCCCGAGCACGAGGTAATGCCCCACTACAGACGCCTCGTCCAGACCTCCTAGCATTAGTGATCCCATCAGGAGGAGTACTCACACCACGCCCTCCTGATCCAGAACCAGGAGACCAACCCTGCTGGACTCCCCACCTCAGAGTACCACAACCAGGTCTTCTCCCTGCAGCCTGGAGATCCATCATGGACCATGGTGTTGGATCTCTACTACACTCTACTGCCACATTCGTATGTATATTTTCAGATCGAGACTTGTATTACCATACACGTATTCTTACTTCGACATTCTTCTCAGACCTTTACTTCTACATTCTTCAACACTATTTACACCTTCAAAAACTTATGAAAGGGAGTATCCGATCTTTAACTTTGTTGATTATTTTTAGAGTTTGTTTGTTTCTCAATCTCTTTTTAAATCCTCTGCTTTTCTTTTTTTCTGTGAGGTTTCATGTCAACTTTCTGGTTAAAGAGGGTTGCAAATTACTGCCGCAAAAGAGCATTTTTGTTAGAATCGGTGGATTAAAACTTTTTCTTGTGAAGGCAAACAACTGCTTTGTGACAAAGTTTTCACTAATAATTTTTTGAAAGAGAGATCATGGATTTCCTTGGTCCCTCGTTCCTAAATTGAACTTGGTAGCTAAAAGTTGGCTAAAGTTGTTCATAACCATTTTTATTTTATTTTATCCTTGCTCGGCATGTTTTGGTTGCCTTATGATTGTCATGAAGAACGAAGCAAACCTGTCGTGTGGCCGATTTTGACAGGACTGTTATCTTTTTGAAAAACCTTTTTGAGTCTCTCCTCACTAGAAGTGCACTTTTTGAATATTGCAGACATGGATGGAGGCCATTTTCAGAGACTCTTGCTGGGTGAGGGTTTTGAAACAAACTAATTCTGATCAAGTTGAGTTTACTTTATGTGAATGGGCCCACTCTTATCAATCAGTGTGTAGTCTCCTGTGCTCTACGTTAGAGTGTATTATCGGCACGTTTCTAGTGCTTTACTGGAGTGGGTGGAAAGGTATTGGAAGTAGGGCATGATGTTACCAATGATACAGCACTGATATTGAAACTGAACTTGAATTAGCATCATAATCACAATATCTGTCTTGACCAGACTAAGTGTTTGATATGGCAGGTGATCAATTTGTCATAGTCACAATATGATTGTGCCATCTATCATTTATGATGAGTGGTTCCAGTTTGAAGGTCCCCTTTGGAATGTTATGTTATAGTCCCAGTCGGTATTAAATAGAATGTTGTGGCCCTGCCCGCCTGTAGAGAAAACAACCTGTGGTTACCTTGGCTCACAGCAAAAAACTTGACCTTTTTCAAACACTATTTTCTTGTTGTCTGCTTGTTTTAGTCAATTACAAAATGACATTTAAGAAAAATAAAACATGTCTAAGGATTACTTTTCAACTTTGCCTGCTCCGAAGCGTTCACTTCTTAGAAAATCGTAATATTGTAGTGCTTCCCTCATGCCCCTTTTCATGACGGCGCTAACGTTAGCCACGTGAGTGCTAGCTAGCTACCAACCAGAACATTAAGCTAGCCAAGACCAACAACACAAACAAACGGACTATAAAGCTACAAGTAGTGAGTGGAGTTCCAAACGGACTGTACTAAATTAGTTAAATGTCTTACCTGTGATGAAATGTTTTCCAAACAAATAGTTACGTGTAGCCTACTTGGACACTGGGTTCCCACAATTTCCCACTCTTCCACACCGAATAGTCTGAAGCCACAGGGCTCTTCTCGCAGGCTCGATTTCCCTACGTGGGTGCATTGCGAACTGTATGTCAGGATTTTTTACCTGGTTACATGTACATAAGCATGTACAGTGCATTTGCAAATTTTGTTACGTTACAGCCGTATTCTAAAATTGATTAAATTGTTTTTTTTCCCCCTACACACAATACCCCATAATGACAAAGCAAAAACAGGTTTTTAGAAATGTTTATCTAATTTACATAAGTATTCAGACCCTTTACTCAGTACTTTGTTGAAGCACCTTTGGCAGCGATTACATCCTCAAGTCTTCTTGGTTATGATGCTACAAGCTTGGCACACCTGTGTTTGGGGAGTTTCTCCCATTCTTCTCTGCAGATCCTCTCAAGCTCTGTCAGGTTGGATGGGGAGCGTTGCTGCACAGCTATCTTCAGGTCTCTCCAGAGATGTTCGATCGGGTTCAAGTCCGGGCTCTGGCTGGGCCACTCAAGGACATTCAGAGACATGTCCCGAAGCCACTCCTGCATTGTCTTGGCTGTGTGCTTAGGGTCGTTGTACTGTTGGAAGGTGAACCTTCGCTCCAGTCTGCGGTTCTGAGCGCTCTGGAGCAGGTTTTCATCAAGGATCTCTGTACTTTTCTCAGTTCATCTTTCCCTCAATCCTGACTAGTCTCCCAGTCCCTGCCGCTGAAAAACATCCCCACAGCATGATGCTGCCACCACCATGCTTCACCATAGGTATGGTGCCAGGTTTCCTCCAGACGTGACGCTTGGCATTCAGGCCAAAGAGTTCATTCTTGGTTTCATCAGACCAGAGAATCTTGTTGCTCATGGCCTGAGAGTCTTGAGGTGCCTTTTGGCAAACTCCAAGAGGGCTGTCATGTGCCTTTTACTGAGGAGTGGCTTCCGTCTGGCCACTCTACCATAAAGGCCTGATTGGTGGAGTGCTGCAGAGATGGTTGTCCTTCTAGAAGGTTCTCCCATCTCCACAGAGGAACTCTAGAGCTCTGTCAGAGTGACCATCAGGTTCTGGGTAACCTCCCTGACCAAGGCCCTTCTCCCCCAATTGCTCAGTTTGGCAGTGCGGCCAGCTCTAGGAAGAGTCTTGGTGGTTCCAAACTTCTTCTTTTTAAGAATGATGGAGGCTACTGTGTTCTTCGGGACCTTCAATGCTGCAGAAATGTTTTGGTACGCTTCCCCAGATCTGTGCCTCGACACAATCCTGTCTCTGAGCTCTACGGAAAATTCCTTCGACCTCATGGCTTGGTTTTTGCTCTGACATGCACTGTCAACTGTGGGACCTTATATAGACAGGTGTATGCCTTTCCAAATCATGTCCAATCAATTGAATTTACAACAGGTGGACTCCAGTCAAGTTGTAGAAACATCTCAAGGATGATCAATGGAAATAGGATGCACCTGAGATCGATTTCAAGTCGCATAGCAAAGGGTCTGAATTCTTATGTAAATAACGTATTTCTGTTTTAGTTTTTTTTTAATAAATTTGCAAACATTTATAAAATACCGTTTTTCACTTTGTCATTATGGGGTATTGTGTATAGATTGAGTTTTTTTAATTTATTTAATCTGTTTTAGAATAAGGCTGTAACGTAACAAAATGTGGAAAAAGTCCAAGGGCTCTGAATACTTTCCAAATGCACTGTACATAAGTTTCGCTACACCCGCGATAACATCTGCAAAATATGTGTACGCGACCAATACAATTTGATTTGATTTGATTGAACAACACAGCAGCTTTTCGGCATGTTTGTTATTTCTGTATAACAAAAAATCGACGACAAAGTTGGCTCTTTTACAATGGGGGTCAATAGGAAAGAATGTTTGGTTTCCACAATTTGTGGGCGTGGTCGAGAGGAATTCCTTCTTATGACATGAATACTGACTCGGAGTATGCTAATGCTATTGTTGTGACATCATAGCAGTGTTACCAAGATTTTATCTTGAAAAATAGAAAATTGTTTATTTTATCAGTCAAAATTGTTTTGTCTTTTGAACACTGTTGAACACACTTTTACGCTTTGGCAGAAAGCTCATGGTCAACAACACCAAAATACACGTTTGTATGTTTGTAAATGTACTGCCTTGCTTGTTCAATAAAAACAAGATTCCTGAAATGTGATTGGTTTCTCTTCATTTTGTGTTACTATATTCTGCTGGCTGCTGATGTTGGTGAATTGATTTACTGCCATAACATAAGATATCATCTGGTTCCACTCTTAATATTTATTGCAGAGAACCAATATCATCTATTACAATTCAAACATGCATGATAAGGCAGTGCATGTTTCTCATTAAATCCTTCCCCCTTGACAACTTAAGTAAGGAGGCTTAGCCCCAAGTGTTAAAACACATTACACATCTGCACTGTGACATTGAGTCTGTCACCTACAAGGGGATACTATGAATAAGTTGTGAATTAGACAATGAATATTAAAGTACAGTTGAAGTCGGAGGTTTACATACACTTAGGTTGGAGTCATTAAAACTCGTTTTTCAACCACTCCACAAATTTCTTGTTAACAAACTATAGTTTTGGCAAGTCGGTTAGGACATTACTTTGTGCATGACAAGTAATTTTTCCAACAATTGTTTACAGACAGATTATTTCACTGATCATTCACTGTATCACAATTCCAGTGGGTCAGAAGTTTACATACACTAAGTTGACTGTGCCTTTTAAACAGCTTGGAAAATTCCAGAAAATGATGTCATGGCTTTAGAAGCTTCTGATAGGCTAATTGACATAATTTGAGTCAATTGAAGGTGTACCTGTGGATGTATTTCAAGGCCTACCTTCAAACTCAGTGCCTCTTTGCTTGACATCATGGGAAAATCTAAAGAAATCAGCCAAGACCTCAGAAGAAAATTGTAGACCTCCACAAGTCTGGTTCATCCTTGGGAGCAATTTTCAAACGCCTGAAGGTACCACGTTCATCTGTACAAACAGTAGTATGCATGTATAAACACCATGGGACCACGCAGCCGTCATACCGTTCAGGAAGGAGACGCGTTCTGTCTCCTACAGATGAACGTATTTTGGTGCGAAAAGTGCAAATCAATCCCAGAACAACAGCAAAGGACCTTGTGAAGATGCTGGAGGAAACGGGTACAAAAGTATCTATATCCACAGTAAAACGAGTCCTATATCGACATAACCTGAAAGGCCACTCTGCATGGAAGAAGCCACTGCTCCAAAACCGCCATAGAAAAGCCAGACTACGGTTTGCAACTGCACATGGGGACAAAGATCGTACTTTTTGGAGAAATGTCCTCTGGTCTGATTAAACAGAAATATAACTGTTTGGCCATAATGACCATCGTTATGTTTGGAGGATAAATGGGGTTGCTTGCAAGCCGAAGAACACCATCCCAACCGTGAAGCACGGGGGTGGCAGCATCATGCTGTGGGGGTGCTTTGCTGCAGGAGGGACTGGTGCACTTCACAAAATAGATGGCATCATGAGGAAGGAAAATTATGTGGATATATTGAAGCAACATCTCAAGACATCAGTCAGGAAGTTAAAGCTTGGTCGCAAATGGGTCTTCCAAATGGACAATGACCCCAAGCATACTTCCAAAGTTGTGGCAAAATGGCTTAAGGACAATAAAGTCAAGGTATTGGAGTGGCCATCACAAAGCCCTGACCTCAATCCTATAGAAAATGTGTGGGCAGAACTGAAAAAGTGTGTGCGAGCAAGGAGGCCTACAAACCTGACTCAGTTACACCAGCT